CTATCTACAAGGGTCATTCACATTCAAAAGTGTCTTATTGAAAAAATCCTAATTTTATTTATTAAATCAATATATATTCATGATTTATATATTTTAATGAATTAAAATTATCATGTTATTGAATTTAGTCACATGGATTATGAATTTAGCATGGATGTGATAATTAGAGTCATTTGAAGAATATTTTTATGTGATCATGATAAGTATGACTAATTTTAAATATTTATCATTCATATCATAATCTATATTTTTGAATTATTTAGTTTAGCTCATAATCTATGTGGAATGAACTATGATTAAATCTGTGTCTTAAGTCAGTACATACATGAGTAGACTATTTCTTTTAAGTGAGAGTTACTCTCCTACATATCAAGTATTTTCATTTATCATAAACTAATTAATTTATCTTTTTTTAGAAAATAGAAGAAGGACCAATGGGCTTATTGAGTGACCCATCCTTTCTTTCTCTCCTCCTCCACCTAAGAGGACAAGTGGCATTCGTGAGAGACCATGGCCCCCTCATGTGAGGTGGCTGACCAGCCATCCAAGGAAAGGGAGCATGCCCAACATTAGGAGGTGAATCTTAAACAGTTGAGATTAAGCTCCCTCTTTTCATCCAAGGCCATAGATCTTAAAGGTATCAAAAGTATAAATAGCATGCAGAGAGGAGAGAAAGGCACTTGAGAGAGTAGAGGAGCGACCTTGCCTTCTAGATGATTCACCTGGGATCTAGAGGAAGTAAGCCCATGATCTACTCCAAAGTCTGCTTGATGTCCTCCATATGATATATATCCAAAATAAGATTGTTACTTTTGTTAGTATATTTATTGTATTCTACTCTTGTTGTATTAGTGAAGAATTATGTTGTTTCCTTTGTATCATCTTCTCTTATTAACCTCTTGCATGACATGAGGTAGAGCCAGTAGGAGATTATATTAGAACATTTCTTGATATTAATCCCTATAGGGACATTAGGTAGACTTGGAAAGAGAGATTGCCTTGGAATCATTAATAACCCTCTTTGAGGTTCCCTATCATCTTTTGATTCCTTGGTTTATAAAGGTTGAGTAAGTGATAAAGTAAATTGAAAAGAGGTGAGATTAGAAATAATATTAAAGGTAGATTAAGAGTAACCTAATTTTCTTTATTCTTTGCATGGCTTCTTTTGTTGGATGAGATTGACCTAGGAGGATAAGGTTTTCTTTTGCATCCTTACTAATATATATATATATATATATATATATATAATTTAACTTTGACCATACTATGTATATTTTTTCTACTTTATAAAACTTTACATTCGTGATTAGAAAATTGTCAAGGTGTGATTCTACATATTCTCTCATTTTTCTGAGATAACTTTATTTTACCTTTTTCATACCTTTCAACTTTAAATTCAACAACAAAAATTATAAAAGTTATCAGATAAGATTAGTTATTTCCTTGATGATTGATTTTAATTTCATTATACACCTGACGTGACTTAGTCATTGTATATTAAATTACGTAAATATAAAATTTATAAAACTAGAAAATATAATTTTTTAGATATTTAGAAGTATTTCTAAATAAATATATTAATTATAATTCAATAAAACTTCCAAAAATAGCACTAATTTTCCAAGTCAATAATAGGGATGTAATATAATATTGGGTAATTATTTAGAATTTTTCTCAATGAATACAATTTTCTATGATATTTATACTAAGAAACAAAAAGAAAATATATTTAAAATTCATAAAAAAGGAAAATAAGGGTGCAGATGTCAAGATGATGTCAGTGTCCAGCGAACATGAATCAGGTAAAAATAGAGTTCTGGCTGACGATTTTTACGTAAGCGATTACAGACAATTTAATCAATCAAATTAAGATTTGTAAAAGCTAGAAGGATCGTAATTGAACGAAGTATATTTTAGTAAATTAAAATCAAAAAAATCATCACTAAATGAAGCATAAAGTAAGTTAAAAGTAGGAGAATAGAGTTCTAATGTTGCAACAGCGATGCGTCGGGGATGCATCAGAATCTTGAGCATTCAGAAAGATCGTCGTGCAATGTCCACAGTTTCGAAGGCTCCCCTTAGACAAAGATGACATGAGTAATCTCTAAATCTCTTTGTGAAGTCTAGAGATCAATGAAGTGGGTCGTCAAATCATCTTCGGTGGCTGTCACTTGGCGGAGCAGAAAAATAGTGACTTTATGACTCTCTAGTGGCTGTCACTCAATGGAGAGGAGCTGGATAGAGGTGGGGCGCATGTCAAGAAGCTTCATCCTTAGGTCTGCACAGCAAGAGGAAGCTCTTCATCGCATCTAGTATGCTCTCAAGAGGTGACGACTCGTCTCTCGATGGGTCGTTTTCTTCTCGACGACGATTTGTTCGTCGATCAATCGGAGATGCTTTACTCGATAGATTTACGATCCTTTTATCATGAGCTGTTCAACAATTTTAGTAACAATATTTTGCGAATCATGTTGATGAGATTTTCGCTGATAATTCAGTGATTCTAGTTGTTGAATCCTGCATCGGTGATTTGTAAGAAAGTCACGATAATCAGATAAAAAAATATGAATTTTGGCTCTAGGAGGATTCGAACCTGTGCCATTCTGAAGAAGATTGATTTAGTCTCACATCAGTTGTATGTCGATTTTTCAGACGAATATATACTAATATTTCATCTATGAACAAGTCCCTTCTCTCGCGTGTATGACCACTCCTTGCCCCACAATTGGTTGACCACTAGTGACGTAGAAGGAGAGTGACACACACGTGCCCCTATCGGTCCAAACTGCTCGAGCCCTCACTCACGACTACTCCCCGACTGAGCTTCCGACTTGCTTGTGAGCCCGACTGGCCAATAGGTCCCCCTCATTTTGTCTTATTTTTATTTTTTATTTCTTTTTCTTTATTTATTGTAAAAGTAAGATTGTAAAAATTATATAAATTTATATAAAATTACATAATTACTCAAAAATTCACATTAATCAACTAGAAACTACTTTTCAACTTTAACATAAATATAAGTCTATTTATCATGAGTTAAGGCTAAAAATATATTATTTACTAATTATTAACTCATGATAATGAAGACTTATCAACACCTCATCGTGTATTTACATAATTTAACATATAAATAGTATTTTGACCATCTCTTAATTAGCAATGAATAAAATATATCATTTTTGTTGTTTGTGAGGGTCTAAACGATCATTTATATGTAATATCTCATATTGATTCTAATTTATCCTCTTCAATTAATCTCCAGACAACAATCAACAACCTAATAGATGAATCCTCTATTCTTGATGATAGTTTAACTAAGCCACACCTAATCTCCCTCTTTTCGTTTCACCACCATAACATTTGGTATTAGAAAAATATGAGAGGTCTATCGAAATCTTCTTTCTAGTATCCATCTTTTTCACATCATCTCATCATGAAGATGACATACTCATCAATGGTGTTACATGCCTTATGTCTTGAGGGTAGTGAATGCATTTAGGTTTTATGCCAACCTTCTATCATGAGGGCAATTAATCCATCTTTGTCTAATTGTTTTATTCATGTGATGATGCATTCATCGTCATGGTAAAGTTGATTCGTAAATTTTTGTTTGTGTAAATTAAGACATGAGTCTTTGTTAGCAACACGATCATCAACAATGTCTTTATGATTACGTTTATCACTAGAATATTGATCAATGATGCCTTCATGAGCATGTTTTATTTAGCTCTCTAGTCCAAGGACATTAAATCTAGATTTATTGTTATCAATTTTTGAGATAGATAAAATTAGTCCCTCTAAATTCTACCTTTATGTTTGTTGGTCTTACTTCTTTCTTTTGTGTTATTTCTTTTACCTTTTATGAGAAAGTTCATTTTAAGGGGGACTGTTAGAGTTCTACATCGTGATTGAAATGTGGGGGAATATTGTGAAAGCATAAGGCTATTTTTAAAAATATCTTATAGGGTTCCTCTCTAAGGGGTGATAAAAAGTCAATATGAAGAGTAAAGTAGTTTCTACTATTCCTCCCCTTTGACCTCCATAACAACGAAAGCTTTCCTCTGTTCTACTCATCATCTTTCTTTCAATCTTAGCTTACAACAAATACCAAAGTAAAAAAAATAAGAGTATCTATTTACCAACAAATATTTTGAAAGTCTAAGACTTTATGAAACTAACATTTTAATTTTTGATATCATCCTTAGATGTCTTCTATTCCAATTCTTAGAAAGTAATGCTAGATGTGTGTTTTTAAAGGTATCTCATTTATGAAATTAATTTTAGAATATAGTTATCAACTATGATACATCCACTAATAAGTAAAAATAGAAACAATTTCAAGCTCTAACGCACTATGCATTTGCCCCAAGTGGGCCTCAACAGGACCCAAGCGAGGGGGAATGACTTTTCCCTATGTGGGTTGCAGTCTAGCTTCACTAGATTCAAGTCAATGGATATGGACTATGTCAACTTCCTATGTCAACCCCATTTTAAGGGTAGAAAATACACACCAAGATATTCCCAGTGCTTCTACTCATTGCCTAATTTCTTCCGATGACACCTCTACTACTAGGCTCCACTACTACCTTCGATTTCCAAATGCAGCAGCTACCTAGCTGAACCCCTTGGGAAGTTCAAAGGAGAAAAGTTGGAGAAAGGACAAAAGGGGTTGACTTATTTCTCCCCAATCAGAGGAACTGTGAGAAGGCAGAAAAGGGAGGGAAGGGGAAATGTTTACCAAAGAGGGAGCCCGAGATTCTCAGCACATCACAGGAAGTTAAGATAATGGGTTCAGCCCACGTGTCAGATTTTTTCGACCCGTTAGTAACGAAGCCCCTCCTCATCTACCGACCTTACGTTGTTCCCACGGCCGGGCAGCTCTCCACGTTCGCGTCGTTCGCCTCTCTCTCTCTCTCTCTCTCTCTCTCTCTCTCTCTCTCTCTCTCTCTGTGCAGTCGGGTCACCTTGCCGTCTCCTCGGGTGAGCTGCGGACGGAGGGAATGGCGATGTCTTTGATCTCTCCTGAGACCTTCTTCATCGCCTCTACGTCCTCTTCGTCTCCTGGTGCTGCCTCTTCTTTGGCTGTCGCTTATCGTCGGCCTCCTCATGTCTGCTCGGTCTCTCCCGCTCGTCGATCTAGTGGGCGTCCATTCCTGACGGGGGAACGCAGGGAAGGGACGGCGAGCTCTTCTCTTGTGCTTAGGGCCTCCTCGTCCTTCGCGCCTCCGTCGCTGCCGGATTCGGAAGCCGATGCTCTCGGGAACGTCAGTATCTATTCGGCCGAGACAGGGCAGCCAGTTCCCTTCAGAGATCTCTGGGACCAGAATGAGGTGCGGTAAAATCCTTGTGAGAGTCTACCGTTGTCGTGGAAGGACTTGGCGTTTTATTTTTTAAGGCCGCGGAGGAGTCAATTCTAGGGCGTTAGAATGGTGTGAATTTTTCAAACACCGATGAGAAAGAGATTTCCCAGTCTCTACCTCTGTTTTTTTTTTATCTGAACGCATTTTCTTAGGATACATGGACTCCGCTTTTTTTCTGATTTGCCTGCAACTGCAGACCGTTTTACTGCTGATGGTCGAACATACTAAACTCTTTCTTTGATTTTTCAAACAGCTTGTTTAGTGCACCCTGGAACCATTGCGAGCATTTACAATTACTGACACCAATTAATTGGCCAATTCAGTGTTCAAAATTTGAGGTTAGGAAACTGGTTAGGATGTTGAGAACTACGACGAACTTGATTCTTAATTGCTTACTAGATCCTTCGATCTATTCTGGGATATCCTATTGACGCAGACTACATCAGTTGATCAGCTGTCTATTGTGATCCGGGTATATAACTAAGAGATGTGGGTCAACGGAAACGGACTACAAACAAATTTATGTCTGTAGTACATACTATTCTATGCGTCAGATGCTGATGTAAGATCTCTTTACAGAAATTCCTTCGGTGTAATATGTACTTTTTTTCTTAACCGATAGCCTTTTATGCAAAGAATTATTGAGATGCAATTCACATATCTGTAAAATTGAGCAAGTTTATTTCGATCGTTAGAAAAGTCGTTCTTTGCTAATTATTTAAACCTTAGGATTTTCAACTCTTACCTGTCAAAATGAAGTCCTTGTAGGTTCCGGGAAACATCATTATCGGATTTAGCTCATGACAATGAAAATCTGTTGCTTTAACGAAATTCAGGGGAAATAACATATCATTTAGCTAATGCTTCTTACATTTTGAAAATAACTAGAGGGAAGTCCGTTAAAAGGCAGTAATGCACAATATAAACAAACCCTGGACAAAATTCTATTTATACGTGTATATAGTTTTTAAATAATCGTAGGCTTCCTTAACATATGTTGTGCAAATTTAATTTGTTTCAATGATGCCTCTCTGTTAAAGCATATTCTTTCATCTCCTTAAGTTATTAACCGTATTTCTGTTCCAGGGAATGGCAGTGGTTGCGCTTTTAAGGCATTTTGGGTGTCCATGTTGGTATGATTAGATTCTCTTACTTGTTATATCAGTTATATCTTGTTGACATTATAGTATATAACTAACACCGTTTGAATCTTCTTTCTACATTACCTAAGCTGGGAGCTTGCTTCTACTTTGAAAGAGTCAAAGGTGCGATTCGATTCAGCTGGTGTCAAGCTGATTGCGGTAGGAGTTGGTGCTCCTGAAAAAGCTCGCATCCTTGCTGAGAGGGTAAGATCTTATATCCTTAGTTTTTTTCCTTTTGGATTACAATTTTTTGACGGAATACCGTTAACTGTTCTAACAAAAAAGCGGAAGAAAACCTCAGAAACAGAGGACAGTCAGGAAAATGAGGGTTAAGTTTTAGTCGACAGTGAAGCTACCATTAGTGGAGAACTCGCTTTGGAAAAATATGCCCTCAGCATCGTCGATTTAAAATTCCGATTCTCAACCCACCAAACCCCTACAATTGAGAGAATAAAAAGCTCCTACATCCCACAGTTTATTTTTGGGTTTCAGTTTCCCAGTTAGCCCACAAGGATTGGACCAAGTAGATCCTCTGCTCCCAATGAATCTTATTAATTATTTAACTAGGGAGATCAGAATACACTATTTTTTCAAAAGCAAGAAAATTTTCTTTATTAGCTTCCCAGTTGTTCAAAAAGGATGGATATATGACACATTAAGACAGTAGTATATCGATGTAAATCAGCGTACAAACTATCCTATTAAGATAAGTTTCCATGCTGATTTCTCTTTATGATATTCATGCTGTGTTGCTTTGAAAATTATTGCAAATTACGAGTTTGGATCTCGCTGTTCCAAAAAATCCTCACAAATTATGAACCCTTGCCTTCTACAATTTCATACAATATTTTTAATTCTCCTCTTAATTTTTTTTGCAGCTACCATTCCCATTGGATTGCCTTTATGCAGACCCAGATCGTAAGGTGCACATCTATATATTCCTGCTCATTTGTGACATTTGACTCATGACTACTGTTTCCTAATAAGTTTTTTTCAGGCGTATGACGTTCTGGGCCTCTATTATGGTTTTGGCCGGACTTTCTTTAACCCAGCTAGTGTAAGATTTCTTCTTTCCGTTTCAATATTTATGAAATTCAATGTTCCCCGAAAAGAAACACGTATGTAAAAAATTAGCATTTAGTGACAATGAATCATAATTTGACATTCATGCTCAAATACCATGACTTCTTAAACAAGTATATCTAAATTAAAATTTTGTAACTGTAACTCGTTCCTTACTATTAATTGACACGTCTCTTACTGAATTTAACAGGCAAAGGTCTTTTCAAGATTCGAGTCTCTGCAGAAAGCTGTGAAGAACTATACAGTCGAAGCTACTCCAGATGATCGGAGTGGTGTATTGCAGCAGGTTAGTCCAGTATTTCTATGCACTCGCAATTTTTCCTAGGTGTTGATCGATTGATATAGTTCTTATTTCCTAATTACTCGTTAATTTCCCCGCTTCTCATGCTGATTTGTATATCATCGAACGTTTGCTTCCTTGGGCTTGACCTAATCATTATGTCTCTGATACCCTAATTGCTCATTTGTTTCCCTATTTCACTGGATGCTGTGCATATTTCATTTATTTTGGCCAAGTAGTATAGTTCTTGTTCCCTAGTTACTCATTTATTTCCCTGCTTCTCTAGGTAATGTATATTTTAACAACATTTTCTCCCAAGCCTTAACCCATTAATATAGTTCCTATTACCAAACTTTCTTTTCTTGGTCTTCACTGATTAGTATAGTTCTCTTGCCTTGATTGCTCATTAATTTCCGTACTTCCCAGGGCGGTATGTATATTTTCAAGGGGAGGCGGCTGCTGTATGCGAGGAAGGACGAGGGAACAGGTGACCATGCGCCGTTGGACGATATCCTCAACATCTGCTGTGCGGCTCCTGTTGCATGATGCTTTGGTTCATAAAATTACCCGAAAATTTTAATTTTGGTGAGAACCCATCTGGATTCCTTCTTATGTTTGACCATTGATAGGATGGATCGTGGTAATTTTTCGAATAATGACAGTTTCTCCATGATTCTGGACAGGGTTTCGCTGGCTATATATACATGTACTCGCGTTCTTCCAACGCCAAGCTCTCCCCAGCATGAGTTCATCTCACTATGCACTTCATTGGGTCCTTCGGTTGGATTATGTACCAAATATTCCTAGAAATGTATGTATATATCTTACTATTTCAGGAAATCTATGTCTAGGAGGGAATCCTGGCAGGGTGAGAGTAGAAGCTGATCCCTCCAAAGGAAGAGTATCTCATTCTCTCTCTCTCTCTCTCTCTCTCTCTCTCTCTCTCTCTCTCGCTCTCTCTGTGAGAGTGCCTGCCCTCGTCCCTGATTTATTCTATATTGGTGGAAGCACGGAATAATTAGCCTGAGAGAGCAATTGCCAGTGATCATAATTCTATTTCGATCCTAAGATTTGATTTCGATCGAAATAGGTAATGGGAAGAATTTAGAAGCTATTTTCGAGGCACTCATTTTCGGGTAATTCTTAAGAGATTTGATTCGTTGACTTGTCTCATTCGTCAGATGTCGGATTTTCCCCGTAAAATGGGAGAAGTTCTTGGCCTCGATCCCCCATGTTCTTACTGTCTGAAAGCTATACATGGGTAAGATCCCATGTCGATTCTCTGATTCTTGGAATTTCTGAAAAAAATCAGGAGACCGATGATATCCTGGAAGGGAGAGGCCGCTGTCTCCTGTGCCCTTCTAGAGGGCGCTTCTGGTTCTCTCCAGATCCTTCTGCTCCAGTCAACCATGGCGCTGAAATCTCCCCTGTCCCCTCGCTCCACTCAATGGTCCTCGTCTTGGCTCTCTCCATGGCCGCTTCGATCTTCCTCTTTCCGTCGTGGTCTCCCAGCAGAACCACAGCTTCCTTCGTCTTCCCCAGCAGGCTCTCCCATGGCTTCCCAGCCCCCCACCTCTCCGTCTCCCGCCCCTCGAGGTCCTTCTCGGCGAGCCCACTCAGATTCTCCATCAAGGAACGCGAAGAGGAAGCCCAGTCGCCTCCCGCATCTCCTCCTTCGCCCTCCCCTACTGGTTTTGTCGCCGAGCAGGAGGGCACCGGAGAGGGCAGCGCGGAGGTTGACGTCGCCCAAAGGGGAGAAGACTCGAAGGAGCCGGCAGGGACTCCGCAGGAGGTGGACTGGAAGGCGGACGATGAGTTCAGGAAGTTCATGAGCAACCCCTCTATTGAAGCCGCCGTCAAGCTCGAGAAGAAGAGGACCGATCGGAAGCTCAAGGAGCTAGACCGGCAACCCGAGGGAAACCCCATCTCTAGGCTTTTCAGGAACGCCGTACGGGGCCGCCTGGCGATGGAGAAGGAGAGGCTGGAGAAGGCGGAGGAGGCTTTCAAGGCATTGGATCTCAACAAGGTCTCCGGATTGGGGTCTCCCCCCCCTCCCCCTTTCTTTGTTGCGGGCTTCCTCCTGTGACGCAGAAACTGAGACAAAATTGGGGTTTTTTTTGCTCTGGTTATAGTTGAAAAGCTGCTTCGGATATGACACCTTCTTCGCTGTGGACGCCCGGAGATTTGGCGACGGGGGTATCTTCATTGGGAACCTGAGAAAATCCGTCGAAGAAGTCATGCCCAAGTTGGAGAAGAAGCTCTCAGAGGCGGCTGGCAGGGAAGTGGTCGTCTGGTTCGTGGAGGAGAAGGATGACGATACAACCAAGCAGGTATGCCACAGAGAAGGACATGATAGACTTAATTCTGCAGATTCAGTACTTCGACCCGTGTTCTGCGATCATCAGCTTGAAATTTCTGACTAACTGGCGAAAAAACCTTCGATTAAGGTCTGCGTGGTACAACCCAAATCCGAGATTGATCTTCAGTTCGAGTCCACAAATCTGAGTACCTTCTGGGGGTACCTTGGCGCTGTGCTGCTATCTGTCACGACCTTCGGGACGATCGCTTTGACGAGCGGCTTCTTCGTGAAGCCGGATGCGTCGTTCGACGATTACATAGCCGATGTCCTCCCGCTCTTCGGCGGTTTCTTGTCCATATTGGGCGTCTCCGAGGTATGCAAGCTCTAATTTACATAAGATTCCGGACGATTTTATCATCGCAGTTCTTGATGGGAAATATCGATCATCACACGACCATCCGGTAAAGAAAGGTTTTTTTTTTTAAAGAAAAAAACCTTCTTTTTTGTGTGGAAAAAACTTGGTTCACGGATAATGGATGAGGAACCATTTGATTTATTACCATCAGGTTTATTTCAATACCAGTAAAACAGTAAGGGATTATTATTTAAACAGCCAGATCTCCCTGTAGGTTGCAACGAGGATCACAGCGGCCCGCCATGGCGTCAAGCTCAGCCCTTCGTTCCTCGTCCCTTCCAATTGGACGGGATGCCTGGGGGTGATGAACAACTACGAGTCTCTGCTTCCGACGAAGAAAGCCCTCTTTGATATCCCGGCCGCACGCGTCGCCAGTGCCTATCTCACGTCGCTGGTGCTCGCTCTCGCGGCTTTCATCTCCGACGGGAGCTTCAATGGCGGAGACAACGCTCTGTGAGTGCTTCTTCCTCCCCCCGAACAAGAAGAGTAAGCAGGCAGGAGAATCGATGGCCGCGCTGCTCACTCTCTCGTTGATCCGTCCCCCGCAGGTTCATAAGGCCCCAGTTCTTCTTCAACAACCCTCTGTTCTCCTTCATTCAGTTCGTGGTCGGGGCCTACGCCGACGACCTGGGGAACGTGCTGCCCAACGCCGTCGAGGGCGTCGGCGTGCCCGTCGATCCCCTCGCCTTCGCCGGGCTTCTAGGTGAAACCCTGATCGATATATCCTCCTCTCACGGTCTTTACTTCTCGCTGAATTCTCAGTGTACTCAAACATCAGATGGGGTTCTAGCAATGGCTTTCTGAACACATCAGAGGGTTGGGACTGCGCAGGGATGGTGGTGACCTCGCTGAACTTGCTACCGTGCGGCCGGCTGGAGGGAGGTCGGATAGCGCAGGCGCTCTTCGGGAGGAGCGTGGCGGGCGTGCTTTCCTTCGGGACGTCTCTCCTGCTCGGAGCCGGTGGGCTCAGCGGGAGCGTTCTCTGCCTGGCCTGGGGCCTGTTCGCCACATTCTTCCGGGGAGGGGAGGAACTGCCGGCGAAGGACGAGATCACCCCACTGGGAGACGAGCGCTACGCGTGGGGCTTCGTATTGGCTCTCCTCTGCTTGCTCACCCTCTTCCCCAACGGCGGCGGCACCTTCTCCAGCCCCTTCCTCGACCAGCCCTTTTTCCGGGGAGGTGTTTGATGGTTCCTCGCGCTGCATGTACATGTAAATGCCGCCTGGCCTTGATGGGCCTCCTGCTCCACAGATGAGAACCCAGGAGATCGGAGTGTGGTTTCCTTCTATGATCCCATCCGGCCTCTAGTTTGGTCTTGAGAGGGAGAGAGAGAGAGTATACTAGCTGTTTAGATAGTATACTCTGGTTCCCCTAAATCACCACTTCCGCTCTTCTCTGGTTCAGAGACGCAAGACATCCACAGCGTCTTCCTCGTGTTCGCATAGCTCGGAGGAGTAAGAGCACGTGAGATATTGCCTTCAAATGGCGTCGCGTGGACACGGAAAATTACAAGTAATCGTGAAATATGTGTTTGCTCCTCGTATTTAATATTATCACTTTGTCGCGGACACCTAGCAATTGGGCCCTCGAATTTAATATTAATCGACAGTGAATAGGTCCACTTAGACGTTCACTTTTTTTTTAATTGCTCAGAACCAATACCGGAGGGTTCGGCGCTATGGCATCTATTAATTGATGTGGAATTGAATCCGATATTTATTGCTTGCACTGGGCAGAATGGTAGTATTCTGGTCGTCTGATCTGATCCACATGACCCACAAAAAGTGCGGGACGTGGGCCGCAGGAAGCTTCCCCGTCCCTTGACTTTTGTAGCAACCATCTCGCTGACTCGGCAGCTAACCGAAATCGATTCCCTGCTTATGGCTTCTTCTTGGTAGGAAGTCCGCGCTTCGACCCATTATCCGGCACGTCTATCTTCCCCACGTGGAGCATGGGGGGGCCGAGGCGTCTGAATCGGTAAAGTCGTCTCATCTTCTTCTTCCTTGGGCCCCTAGATTCCGTCTATGATTACTCCGCTGTGGGTCCGGTCACCACGCCGCCGCGTCCAACTTGTGATAGAAAGCTCTCTTTTGCGGCCGAGATACAAATGAATGCTGAGCGTCGGATCCAGCCACAGCCGTATGTTCTCTCTCTCTCTCTCCCTCTCTGCGTGTGTGTATAACCGCGTATGCAACGCTGGATGTGTACTCATCCACTCTGTTTCTAAGCTCTAGCGTTATTAAAGGACAACGCCAACGTTGCCTTAAAGTCGGGCTTATCGTTTCTTCTAGAGGAGAACGACAGAAATCAAGAACTCGAGATACCCAAGATTAACAAAAAAAGTTGAATAAAGATCCGTTTGAAGATTATAGTTGAATTGCATAGTGGATCCTGGTATCGCAACAACAGTAGTGTCCACAGTCGATGAGAAATCTGTATGCAGTTTTCAATCTCCCAATTGATTTTTGCAATACGTTGAACCACAAACTATCTGGAGGCAGAGATATGAGAGTGTAGAAGTATCTGATATGAGAGTGCACACCGCGTTCATCGTGATCCCAATGCACGTTCAAAGGATTCATTTTTCCATCATTTATTTGTGGCAAACATTCCATTGCATCTAGTCCGTAGGTCCACCTATTTAATTCCCCTCACGACCTAGTTTAGTTGAGAATTTTATCTTATTATTTACTTATATGCCGACCTCTTGTGATGGATTTGACATTGATGACGCGCTCCAATCGTATTCTGCAAAAGAAAAACTTGTTTTTGAGGGTGCCATGCTCCTATAATAAAAACTAGAATCCTCCAAAAATGGGCCTTTTGGCGGTAGAAGGGCGATGATGGGATTATCTCAAGGCCGAACTGAAATATTTAGTTAAAACCCCTTATCCTTCCATTTCTAGAGGTATGGAACTAGCCTTTTTGTACTGATGAAAATGGTGTGAGAGAGAGGCAACTTCCGAGTATCTTTGTGAGCGAAACTCTCCTGTATCTTGTGGTAAAGTTGTAGAGACCCATTCCTCCTCATGAACGTGGCCGTGCATGGGCCATGTGAGGAGGGAGGCAGGGAGAGAGAGAGAGAGAGAGAGGTACCTTACAAATATCTTCGTGGGGGACACTCCAACTTTCTGTGGCGCAACTTTAGAGATGACCCCCATTCCTCTTCATGAACGTGGCCATGCATGGGCCATGTGGGGGGAGAGAGAGTGAGAGAGAGCTCCCTGTATAAGTTCGCGGGGGAAACTCTCTTCCAACTTTATGTGGCGCAACTGTAGAGATGACACCAATTCCACTTCATGAACGTGGCCGTGCATGGGCCATGACGGGAAGTTCTTCTTCATCTTGTCGGCGGGAGCATTAAGGGTGGAGAGAGGTTGGAGGTGGGGGGTTGGGGCCAACGTGCCACCATGCTTTCAAAGATATGGAGTGCGGCAAAGAGGGACTGTACCACTAAAACCTTCTACAACCGTCATAGGGTGCATTAACTCGTTCAAGCAGATGACTTTAATGGAGTAGAAGATCCCGAGTCAAGTGGGCCAGTGGAAACTATGAAAACCCAACGACCCGTTCCACTCCCCACCAACCCTTCTTCCTCCTGAACCTACTCAGCAGAGATCTCCGTCATAGGTTTGTCCTCTTCCCTGTTGCTAACGAAGTTGGGGGAGGGCCTTCTAGAGGAATACACGCAGGTGGGGAAGACATTGACTATCATCTGCGGACATCCCACGTGAAGCTCAGTCGAGCATGTGCGTCTGACCTTCATGCAATTCCATGTTCTCCACGCATGTCACGAAGGGGGGGGGTACAAATTACATTGGATATCAAATTCTTATTTTTTCTTCTTTTCCTCTTCATCTTCAAGTTGCGATTGAGTTCAGTTGGCGGAGTTGACTAATTTTTTTTGGAATGTCAGCTCCATTAATTCCGACTTCAACCGGCACACAGTTATGCGTAAAACATTCCTTTAATTGTTTTTTTTTCCAAATGGGTTGACTTTTACGAACCGGATCAATGTCAGCAATTGTTTCCCCGAGTCTGCTACAACCCACCTAGTTGACCCTCTGTCTGTCTCACGAGGAGGTTGGGTAAAAGGAGCTTTCGTTGACTAGGGGGTGTTTCCCGTTCAGGTTCCACGGAGACCCCTAGCATTATCTAGCGAGCTGATAAATACTGGAAGATTGAAGAGAGAGGATGGGAGGAGCTCTGACGTCCTAGTCCTCAATTGAAAACGAAAACGATAGGAATATCAATCTGGTGTAAGAGGGGCTAGCGCGCGTCCGGGGAGGGTACTGCAGAGAGAGGGCGCCATGGATGGGGATGGCAATGGACCCATAACTCTGTACCTTCCTCTACATTTAAGATTTCCGCGTCATCTTAGCTGTCCTCTTCATGAAACGCTGGTTCCTCAAGCTGGGTATTATATCTGATTGTTTCTTTGGAGGAAGAAACCCTTCGAATCTCTATGACCAGTGAGCTTTGAGGAACCCTACCTAATTCAAGGTGATCCAGTGATGATCTTCTTCAGTTAATAAACCCTCTCAGCATCTCCTAATTTTCTCTGGGTCCGTCGTCATCTCCTTCAGAGTAATCTCGACTGGTTAGTAACATCAAAAGGTCTGATAACTATATTAAAAAATAATGATGAAATATCTTCAAATGTCTGAATATTTCTAGAAGCCGGCGATCACTTTATCTAAGTTTACGATCAGATTAAGAGGGGAGTCTGAGAGCTTACTTCCCTCGCGGGGAATTTGTGAAGGTTCCTATATCCGGCAGCTACGGCCACATCAGGTCATCGTCACCGCGTCATGATCGGTCCAGCCATGGAAGAGGACCCACTTAGAGCTTCTGGGGGGCTACAAGGGGAGAAGACACGTCACCATCTCCGTCGTGAGGTCTACGACGACGGCATGGGTTCCATGAACTTGAAGCCCGGGGATCCAGGACCAGTTCCTCAGGTAACGTGGACACAGGAGATGATCTGGGCATTAACTTGCGGCGGCTTCGATAGGGACGGGCGAAGGAAATCCGATTAGGGCTGATGATATCGCTTTCACTACAGATGATCATAATGAGAACAACGACGACGATGAATCATTGTATTGCAACGGGCCAGAAAAAAGAGAATTAGGAGAGAAAACAAAAGCCAGACAGCTTTCGCTTATCTGCTTGCGGTTATCCTGCCAGCTTCATCTTACTAGTTGCAGATTTGTTGAGAGAGACTGGATCTAGTTTAATGGGTAGTTGGTGCAACCAACGGTAATCTCTTTCCCCATGGCTAGGAGAATCATCATCACATTAACGAAGTTGTCTCTCAACAAATATCTTTGATAATGAGAAAACCAATCCAATGTGGCTTGATCGGTAATTAAACATCACTGAATTGACCTAATTAGAGCTAAGCTAATTTTATTAAAAGTTGAGCGTCTTTGAAGTTATTAATTAAAATTAAATATATTAAATTTTCATTTAATAATTTGAACTCTTGGAATCTTCGCAATATGAAAACTCATTTGATTGACCTAAAACACTCTATTTGACTTATCTTACAAGTAAACTATAATTCGAAGTTTGCTTTTATAATTTCCTCAAAAAGTCAGCTGCATTAAAATTCATTTTCTCTGTCACCATCACACTCATCATTTTAGAAGGCATTTTGACAAATAGATATGTCGTACCCTTCAAAGCTATCCCTCTCCGCTGCGCCAAAAGTCAAAGTGTCCGTGTTGTCATTCTTATTGCCTCACCTGCATTTTTTTCCTCCCTTTTCATAGATTCCAAAAACCTGCAAACACGCTATAAATACCGGGCACTACCCTACACTTCAACTCGCGCTAAATTTCTCGTCTTGTTTCAAGCCCTCGGCCTGTTACTTTACAAAGAACACTCTCCTCCCTATCTCCCTCCTCTCGCCAGTCCCATATATCCTCGTCATAGGTTCCATAGAATGGGGCACAGGCTGCTGCGGAAGAAGGCCACCTGCAATTCTCATGGTCAGGACTCTTCGTACTTCCTCGGATGGCAGGAGTACGAAAGGAACGCCTACCACCCTGTCACCAACCCTGAAGGGATCATTCAGATGGGTCTTGCTGAGAACCAGGTGAGCGGAAGATGAGAGTAACTCTCTCTCTCTCTCTCTCTCTCTCTCTCTCTCTCTCTCTCTCTCCCCGGCCGGCTGCCCGCCCGAGAGTTTCTGAGAGGCTATGGTTTTGGCTGAATTTTAATTCGGCTCTTTTTCTTCTGATACTCATCTCCCATCTCTGACATGATCATCATGCAGCTGTCCTTTGACCTGCTGGAATCATGGCTGGCGAGAAACCCAGACGCAACCGCATTCAAGGAGGATGGCGTCTCCATCTTCCGGGAGCTCGCCCTATTCCAGGATTACCACGGTCTTCCCGCTTTCAAACGCGTAAGTAGGCTGCACTCGCCATTGGGGGGGAGGGGGGGGAGAGAGAGAGAGCACAATAATCGCTTATTTTCTTATAAGCATTGATTACCAAAATTGGTCCCGAACAATTATAATAATAGAACAAGATATTCGGTCACACCCGTTTTCTCTTGGGCACACGTATGGCAGGTAAAAGCCTGTCATACCAACAGCCACCCTATCTGATTTTTTCGTAGAAAGGGCCTCGTGGGTCCCGAACACGTGCATCACGGCCCCGGGATGCTGGGAGTGCAGCATTAGTTTACCCTAGAAGAAGCCTTGAAGGCTCGAGTTATCACGTGTCAATAAGTTTCTAATCGAGTATAAGGTTTATTGGTTGCAGGCATTGGCGAAATTCATGGGGGAGGTACGTGGCGACAAGGTGTGCTTCGATCCCAACAAGCTCGTCCTCGCCGCAGGCGCGACGTCGGCCAACGAGATCTTGATGTTCTGCCTCGCCGAGCCGGGAGAAGGTTTCCTTCTTCCGACACCTTACTACCCAGGGTAAGTCACTGCCGTCAATTCACCCAAGAATAGAGATTCCTATGAACAGCTTGCTGATATTTGTTTATCTCTAAAAGGTTTGACAGAGATCTGAAATGGCGAACCGGCGTGGAAATCATCCCGGTCCATTGCTCCAGCTCTAACAACTTCCGGGTCACGAAGTATGCTCTTAAAGATGCTCTTAGGCGGGCCAAGAAACAAGGCATAAGAGTGAAGGGGGTTCTGATCACCAACCCATCGAACCCATTGGGAAGGACGACAAGCCTGGAGGAACTTGAAATTCTGATGAACTTCGTCGCAAAAGAAGGCATCCACCTGGTGAGCGACGAGATATACTCCGGCACCGTGTTCAACCCCCCGAATTTCGTCAGCGCGCAGGAAGTCGCCAATGGGAAAGATGACGTTGCCGGGCGTGTACATATTGTGTACAGCCTCTCGAAGGACCTCGGTCTGCCGGGATTCCGAGTTGGCGCCATTTATTCCGACAACGAGGCCGTCGTTGCGGCGGCGACGAAGATGTCGAGTTTCGGGCTGGTTTCCTCCCACACACAGTATCTCCTCTCGGCGATGCTATCCGACAAGGATTTCACAACAAGGTATTGTAAGAGAATCATGAGGTGCAAATCAATTCAACTCATAATTCCAGGAGCTAACATTAGATTTTGGGTTCTTTTAATTAATGTGGCACTACTTTAACAGTTATCTCGCTGAAAACAAGAGGAGGATTATGGAGAGGCACGATGCCCTCGTCACCGGCCTACGCAACGCCGGCATAAACTGCCTGGAGAGCAACGCCGCTCTCTACTGCTGGGTGGACATGAGGCATCTCCTATATTCGGACTCGTTCCAGGGCGAGATGGAGCTATGGAGGACGATGCTTTACGAGGTGGGACTGAACATATCTCCCGGGTCATCCTGTCACTGCGGGGAGCCTGGGTGGTTCCGCGTCTGCTTCGCAAACATGTCCGAGGAAACCCTAGACCTGGCGATCCGGAGGATCGAGAAGATGCTCGCCCGACGTCGGATCACGCCAGTGCAAGTCGAGCCTTCTTCCAACAAACACCATCAGGCAGATGGAAGAAGTATTCATGTGATTTAGCCCATGGAATCATGGTGAAATTCGTTCTTTTTTTCTTTATCCCCTTCTTTTTTTGTCGTCTTTCCGCTTGCCGAGGGTTCTCGCGATCTCTCGTTTTGGGGGGAAGTGTGACTTTCCAACCTATGTTTGGGCTGTGATGGCCAAGGTCTGATGTACAAGAAGGGGAAAAGGCTAATTATCTTAATTACTGAACGATGTTCAACTATTGTAATGTTAACAGGATTACAAGTGTATTGTTTTTGACATCAATAATGTTTTGTCAATCGTGTTCTCATAACTGTCTTTGAAAACGAGCAACGAGGTCCTCGTGGTTCAATGATATGATATAAGATTTCTTTTTCAATGATTTTTCCATACATTATTGATTATTTGTAAGGATTATTTAAAGAACTATGCATTAAAGGAGGAATGAAACTGGCCAACCCTCTCACTCAAGAAAGTTTAGACCCGACCTCCCTTCCACTTCATGATTTGAGGCTGTCCCTCAATCCGAAAATACGTTCCAATTTCAATAGATTCCACGTACTAATCGAATCTCAAAACTGATCCTATATTTAATCCTAATTCGAACCCCCAGTTATAGTGCTGAATCAAACCTCTATTTTATTCCTTAATCGTCAATGTTCTTGATAATTGGGATCTTAGGATTGAGATTACCTTATGAACGGTATGAGTTAGATGCTCATCATGTCTTTTGGTCCCGTTTAGTAGTTCAATATGTAATGTGTGAGGCGGAACAAGGAGCGCTCACAATCCTGGGGCGGGCCCACGCATGAGTTATCTAATTATAATAGTGCTCATGCTGAGTCGGTGATCTGGCCATCGAGCCGTACACCTCCCACGGGAGTATCAATAAACAGTTTCCAGGAAACGCGGGTTGGGCAGGGAAAACCCTTTTAAATGTTTGCCATCATCCACCGCCACCTCTTCAGATGAAGGCCACTGGTCAATGGCACCAATTTAATGGTCTTCATTTCAAGTCTGAGGTGCGGGTTGGGCATTGACTTTCTGAGTATTGCAAATTGAACTTATTCGTACCACCATGACCACCATGCCGGTGTCAATAATGACTTCGAATTGACTTATTAAGTAGACCGGCATTGAAGATGATTCATGGTCACCACAAGTCAACTAGAGGCGACTCAATCCTGTCTAGCTTCAGTTTTCGGGAAGTTCTTGTTGAGGTGAAATGTCCACGTTTCACGTTCTTAATGACAATTTAACCATAGTTTTCACATTCACCTTTAATAAAGACAGGTTGGGTCAACAACAAATATTACAAGCACCTTTATTCATAGAAGGTAGAGGTGTGCCACTCGAGAATGTGAGAGGGGGAGGGGGAGAGAGAGAGGGTCAAGCCCATAATGTGATTAAAAAATGAGTTTTCTCGAGTTTATATAATTTATTATTTTAATTAATGTATTCTTATAATTCTATTTATATTATTTCATTTTTATTCAATAGATTTAAGTTATTTACCATTATTTAACATCAACAACCACTAACCACCACGTATCACTTATCAATGTCACCTTCCACCTCCATTACTACCACTATATTGCTTACTATCACATAAACATTACCATGTTGTCTCGGCGTTAAATGTTGCTAATCAACTCTGATGTCGACCATATAATATGACACGTTCATCAAAATTCTTGCCCAACATCTCCATCACCAAACAAGCTACCAACCTACTATAGATCTTTAAATTTATGTCCTCGCATGGATTTTAGTTTAGGCCCAGTGGATGCTTTTTTCTAGCGTAGAACATTAGAAGACTAATCGAATATCTATTTTCGTTAGTTTTCGTATTTCTGACAAGATTTCACTGGAAAATCTTCAATCTGATTAATGGGCCCAAGTAAGCTTCAACAAGGCGAACCGATTAAACCCCTGAAAATAGAGCCTGGAGATTGGAGTCTCAAGTTTATTGGGTGGTGTGCAGATCGCGAAGCCTTCCGCACACGAACTTTCTCTCTCTCAAACGAGGATTGAAGTCTCAATTCCTCCCTCTCTCTCTCTCACACACACACTCTCGCTCGCTGTACCAATGGGAATCTCCCATGCTTCTCTCAGGTCCTCGTCTGTTGACTGGCTGTCCAAAGAGAAGAGGGCGGAACGTGATCAGATCCCAGAACAGCCGTCTGACGGAAAATAACCTTCACGTTAGGTCCTGATCATGGCGATTACCCCACAGTATTTCAAACAAGTTGAGAACCGGACGAGGTGGGGAAGAAGGTAACCACCTTGTGGGAACTCGGCCACGTTTCACCCGTCCCGTCGGTGAAAATATTCCACACCGATGTCCATGTTGAACCACTTGGGGGATTGCTTTACCCCGGAATCAGAATCTCACAAAAGGGCAACTATAGCTTGACGAGGCATGATCTGTGAATTAGCGCTCCTCAGTACCACAGGATAAAAAAATGACTCTTCTCGTTACTCTGGGGCGTATGAACGACTGCTGAAGTCTGAAATCTATTAGAGGATATGCGCCGCTGATGCAGATTCCGATTCGTAGATCCTACATTTCCATGATTGATGAGCCCAACACGAGTCCAGGCATCTTTCATAAGGTCCATACCCGACTTAAAGCTGGAGACCCGGGTACTTGGTTCTCCATTTTAAAGAGAACGTTTTAAACAAATATTTTGAAATGCAAGCACACCATTAATAGTCCTCCCCTATTATTTACTGTAAATGTAGATTATATTATAAAATCAGACTACTTTATAACTTCTTTCATGTAACATTAGAGTCTGCATAGTTTCACGTAGAGACAGAAAAAAACACGATTCTTCTTAATTCGTCCGTGATCCGATTATGAATTTCTAAAGACTAGTAGTATTTAATTTCCAAATAAATCTTCAAGTAACCGTCTTTTTAAAAATTATGAACTGAGAATGAAGAGGTAGTAGATGTTCTCCCTTCGACTTCCCTAAGCCAGTCCCTGACTTCCTCTGAAAGTTTTCCTGTGTAGTTCGATTAATTGGATTGTGAGAAGAAGCCCCACCATCCCTCTCGCTGATGCTCCCATATTATGTTGCACCAATACGGAGAGAGAGAGGCATACAGAGACCCCTGTCGCTCACATGGCCACCTGACCGTACGCTGCAATGAGTCTCTCAATATCGCCGGAGCTCAGCACTTGGCGGAGGATTTCCTTTCCTCACACAACGGTGCCCGATCGAAAGCAGGCCTTCCCTCCCTCTCACGGGAACTACCTGGTCACCTACGGCTAGAGCAAGGCCAATCAGCTGCCGGCCAGCTGGCAACTTGTTCACTCCGGGAGCCCCAGAAGTGAGAACTTCAGCGGCACTGTAACCTCGCAGGATACCGCCAACGCCAAGAATTTGCGGATTCCGAGCAGCAGTACTACGACTACGTCAACAAAGAAGTTAACAATGTGGACACTGCACACAGCAGACGCGGCGAGACTCGCCTGTACGCAGATGACCCAAGCCAATGTACAGCAGAGGTGGGGGAAGTCATTTCCTTCCACTACAAACCACCAGGAACGTGGGAGAAGAACATACGTCCAAACTACGGTAGACATTCACTTCCCTGTACCAATTAATTTCATCATCGTCTCCTCCTCATCATCTTGAACGGTAAACCAAAATACATAGGATCTTATTAGAGCCAGTCCTTTTTTTTTGGTGCGTAAGTTGTGCAAAATAAATTTCTTCCAATCGTGTTGTCATTCTTTTGTCATATAAACCTCGGAAAGTGATTGCATTCAACCTAAAACTAGTAGCCCAGAGTAAAAATATAGAATTTGATACTATTCTAACACAGCCGAACAAGTAGACAGTTGTTTTTTTTTTCATCTTTACATGTTGAACCTAACAAGTTGATTTAAAAATCATTATTATCTTAATTGTCTGTCTTTTTACATCAGGCTAAAATGTTAAAGTTTTAATGTCAAGAAGGTCAAAAGTGGTGCAAATGACTCATTCTTTAAAATAATGTGACAACCTTAGGATAAAATAAATGGCGTTAAAGAAATTCGATCCATAATTTAGACATCTAAGGGATTAGCAGGACTAGCCTAGCCTTACAAGTTAGGCTTGACTCTTGGCCATGTATGCCAATAGTCACAATATCGTACTAATAATGTCTTTTTAAATATGAAGCATATCTTGAAAAGCTATCTCTTTGAGGAGGAATTCTCACCAATAGGACATTTGAGATTGAGGTTATAAAAAAAAAGGTTCTAGTAGGTTTTCAAAAATAAAATATTCTAATCCCAAGTGAGTTAATCCTATAGACGAGGTTACGTAAGAAATCCATGCAGAATTTGTGTTATCTTTTGAACAACCTTGTTCTTGATTGAGGCTAATAGATTTAACTAGTTCTTCAATAAAATCAACTTCGTGTAAAGTTCTGATTTGTCAATTTGAAAATTATTAAATATTTTTGTAAAGTGAAAATATCTCAGAGGAGCTTAATAAATGGAGCAGGTATCATAATAAATAGATCAAAACACACACATATATATATTATGCTAATGATGTACGCTTAGTATAGTAATGTACGCCACGTTTTAAATTAAGTGCATATAAATTTTAAAAATTATCAATCCTATCATCATGATCGGGCTAGTAAAAGGTGAAACAAAACAATTGAAATAAATTAGATTATTTATTTAATATTTTTTTCTAATAATCAACCTGAGAAGGAACATGCAAAATTGTATGGAATTTCTAGGATGATCATTAATAAACTTATTTTGTACGTTATACTGTTATCAAGTGTATAGTGAATGGATGAATCACTTATATATGAATTAATCTACTCACATCATTCACTTTGTGTCAACTAATTTAAATCTATAGTTTAATTCCTTAACATCATATCAAAGATTGTAATTGCTCAAAGCTAGGCATCTAAGCGTGAGGTTAGACCTAAGTATAGCATTTTAGCATAATCAAATCTTCTGTAATCAATCATGTAAATACATCAACCCAGTCCATTCATTGTTTAGATTACATAGGCATATTGGCATGAGCAATGTATGGTAACCACATATTCGTTGTAACTTAAAACGGAATAAAATGCTAGTAAATAAATCATTCAAACAAATCGGGTTAAATATAGGTATTTGTAATATGACCGACTGTCATTTGGCCCTAGCTAGTGTTTAGATCAATTATCTATATGAAAATAGATGGAGGAACTTTCAGGAAGATAGGTTCATATGATGATTAGAGTTGCTTGAGCAATTGTTTTGTTTTGAAGCCAAATGTATAAATTTTTCTGCTTTTATGAAACTTATGTGACTCACTCTAGTCTTCTGAGTATCATGATTAGAATCAAGTCTAGAATGTATAGATCCTTTTATCACAGTTTTATCTCCTTCTACCCCAAAATTTTCGACGAAATTCCCTTAAAGTTAAATCTTTTTTTGTTGTTATCTGTTCATATTTCCCTTAAAGTTACATCTACATTTGTTGTTATCTGGTCATCTCATCGTTATCCCATCTCTCTCTAATAAGTGCGTCGGAGCACCGGCCAACGTTTGTGCTTCAAATTGATTAAATTTGGAACTAGATTTTCATGAGTTTATTCAGATCCGAATCGCGTAAAAGATGTCCGAACTCGAACGAAGTGCTAAGGATAGTTAACAATCTTCAAGGGCTTATTTAGATTTGACTCAACCTGGGACTAATCATCATGCGAAGATTCAATGGGCTGTCGGCTGAAGCCAGCCAGCTATGTTTTTCCTTCCCTATTAGCCAAGAAGGTATATTAAACTTACGGTAAGCACACGGTCACCATTGCACTTAACGTATGAAGGGTTTAAGGTGGACGATGTAGATTTACTACAATCCATAATTACCCACGACTATTTTCATGGGCTAATTATTTAGAAAACTTTGAACAACGCCAAGTTCATCTGATCATTCACTATCGCTAATCAATCTTCCTAGCTTTTTTGTTATTTTTCGCCATGAATCGTTTAATTTGTCATTTGTGTGTAAATTTGGTAGTCTATAGAAGGCTATAACTGTACAAATTTTTGTATGGAAAGGATTAGATAGTCAGAAAGTCTTAATGTGTGCAATGTTATTTACAGAAAGGATTATACAGTTAGAAAGTCTGAATGATGTTCGATACATTGTTTATTTTGAATAGTAATTTAAAATCATTATACAATAAGTAGAGGAGTAACATTTATATAATCACAATATTATTCGTGTGATTATACTAACTATATAGATTACAGTTTACACAAATTGTGTTATGATTTTGGAATGAAACCTTGATTTTTGTTAGGTTTGAAGACAACCTGTCATTTTCGCAAATTGGTCACCGGCACTGCTACTTTCTTTTACTGGGATAAAAATTTATTTTTTAAAAAATAGAATCAGCTAAAACCAGAGTGATAAAGAGTTCTTCGATTAAATAACGCTGCCTCAAGCTCGATACGGCCCACGACATTCTGGTTTGCCTTATTCCTTTTTAGGGGCTCTTTTCATCATCTCATAAACTCTATTATTCTCCGAAAAAAAGTGGAAAAAACATCAATTAGTCGATAATCATTTTTTTCTTCGTCCACGAAAGTGAGGGGTAGAATGTATCTACTGCAGTCTCGGTTACGTCTGTAAATTTGCACCCACGCCATTGTATCAAAATATTTGTCTTGAATTGTAGCCCACGAATTGAATGGCAATGCATATTAAATGTCATAGAGCTTAGTGGGGTTAATCACCCGCGGTGAGAAACCAAGACCACCGAGAAGCTCGCTCTCTCTCTCTCACTCTCTCTCTCTCCTGGTTTCAAATTGGATGATTACGATTTGAAGTACAGGATGTCCATCTTCGTTCAACAGCAAAACTAGATTGCTTACTCCCGAGTCTCTCCTCGCGCTGGACAAGTCGCTGCGCCCGAGTTGATGTTTGATTTGATGGCCACCAACTAGCTGTTCGGCGAAAGAGGAGGAGAGAGGGGAGAGAAAGGTATGGTGACGGCGAGTAGAGGAGTAGAGAGAGAGAGAGAGAGATCATCCTCCCTCACGTTTTCCATGACCAGATCAGCAAAAGCTGATCGTCCGAGGCTCCTACATCACCTGATTACTGTTCTTCTTCTTGTACCCTTCGTTTTTGACAGACGATGGACGGGACGACTCCTCCACCTGGGAATTTCTCATCGGAAGGAATGTGAGACAGATTACATAGAAACGTAGAGAGAAAGAGAGAATCTGAGAGCCCAGCTAGTACATCATCGTCAGTCATCACAATCGTTTGCTTGTTGTGTTTCATTCCCAAAGCCTGTTCGGCAGATCGAGATATGAGTAAAATAAAATCTGAAGGTCCGTAGAAAATATGTCGTCACACATCAACGTCGAATCTCTAACACAGAGTCGAATCCTCTCTCTCTCTCTAGCTGTGCCTCTCCTGGTGACCCGCTTGACGCCACCATTGTCGGTAGCACTCGGAAATTGTAGGCTGCCACGGCCGCGCGTGTCCTCCGCCGGACCGTGTTGCCTAAAGGGCGGCTGGCGCGTGACAGCCTGCATCTGCCACCGTACCTGCACAATTTCCTCCTAGTAATGCCGCCAAGGGATATATTACCCATCTTCTCGCGATGAGAATTAATTATTTAGCAAAATTATTTCCACTTTAACTTTACCGACGTCAATAACACAATAATTTACCTCAATAGTGTATGTTTCCCTCTCATTCGATCTGCATAGTCGGATCCAGCCAACCCCAAAGTCAGCTCGGACTCCATAGTAAGCATAACGAGTATCAATTATGTAGAGGTCTCCATCGGATATAGAAGTCCATCCAGTATCTTATTTTACCTAGTCACTGAGGCAGTCCTGACAAGTCATGTGCCGTTCTTCAATCGGATAGCAAAGGGTGAACTATAAGCTCGTGTGCCCGTATTCCAGAGGGAGGGGAAGTCTTAACGTCTTCCGTCAGGGTTCCGCCCTATTTCTTGACTCCATCAATGGTAGGACGGGGAATCCGGAGAATACATCCCATACATATTAATGACAAACAATTTATTACATTTGTTTGTTGGCATGCTTCACGTGATTATCATGTAATTTCTCACGAATTCTTATGCTAAAATTATATTTTAGAATTGGAATAACGTCAGCTGATAGTGATTACCTAACGATGTGATATTCCATGTTTTAACATGTTCGGTTAAATCATTTTGACGACTATATTTTAGGACTTTGTTGTACTTGATTTAAAATAAAAAAACGATTAAGATGATTTATATACGGGATATAAACGGGCGCAAATTGTATCGTATCTTTAACATCGAACATTGATCTATACCCGATTGAGGTCTATTATCGATTAATTCTTACGAGTGAAATAAAGCAAAGAAAGCCTGTCCTCACGTCTCGTTTGTTTACTGAGAGGATCTATTAAAATGAGGAATATATTTCATAACTCATTCCCAGGATTCCACTGAAGTATCGCGTTTCCTCGGGATAGATCCGTCCGTTAAAAGGGGGTTACTATCCATAGTCTTGTTTTTCTCTTTTCTCGTTGAAATACCAAAAAAATCATATAATTCAATTTGAATAGTTTTATCGGGATAGTTCACATCAGTTTTAGGTGTACTGATCTAAATAGCGTATCCCATCACTGGAATGTTTCGGCTTACAAATGAAGCAAAAATAACATAAACCATCAATTTTCAAACAGCCGGTAGCAAATTTCTGCAACCCCGATCATATCAAGCTGAAAAATACTGTTTTGGATTTTACTGAACAATTAGAATTGTAGTCGCATATGCATTCACGGAGAGGTTCTTTGTATACTTAATCAATGACATACAGGTCTAGTAAAACTTCGGTATGTTAAGTTGAATATGTCGTTTTGCTGTGTTTAAAGTAAAAGATAAATATATAATTTAAATAATAAAAATGGATGTAACCCATGATTTCGGCAGTTCCGTAGGGTTGTTGTCTAAGAAGAGAAAATGGGTAGTTCGTAGTTTATTGTTTCATTCTTACCGACATAGCTGTTCCTCGGACAGCTACTGGGATATTTTATGTGCTCGCTGTCTCAACTTCAGTTCGTAATATACTAAATTTGGAAAGTACAAGAACACCGTCGCCAGTCCTTCAAGGAGAGTGGCGTAAAAGCTGTGACGATGATGAAATCTTTAACACTAATATGTGATTAATCTGGGAAGTCTGCTTTATTCTCTGGGTTGGTCATCGTATGTTCACATCACAGACACCGTAATCATATGACGGACGACCTCAAACAGTACCTAATACTGGTCAAATAATATCTCCATCGCGTCAGCAAAAGATGGAGAGAACTGGCAGTATGAGTTGGGGGGAGGACCCTCCTGCCTAGGAAAACTGCGAGGGCGAGTAGACAAGGGCTGCAGTGGGGGATTGTGTAGTGGGGGTGTCTAATCTCAAATTCTTCTAACTTCTCTTCACCCCGAGAGGGTCATAGTGAGAAAGGATAAACGAGAAAGGAAGGACTAGGCATGAGAAGCGTATTTTCATCAAGACAGTTTTACCCTTATGTAGAGGATAGGTATCATGCCGAAGGTATGTAAAAGCATTTGAGGCTTAAAGCGGAACGTACAGAGGTAGCGGAAGTCTGAAAGGCATTGGAACACGGGCTAATTAGGACTTAGTTTTGTCATCAGACACGGTTATCTTGTATTAAAGGAGCTTTCATACTTTGCTTAAAGGGATCTTGATCTTGATTGTATTGGGGATCATCGACGGTACGGTCTTGTTATTGTAGATGAATGAGAGGTGGAGAACGCGAGAGATGGAGAAAGAGAGGGGGGGGAGGGTGAGAGAGATGAAGGGAGAGAGGGAGAGAGGGAGAGGACGCATGTTGGTTAGGGATTCGCGCCCCGCAAATGGGTGCGGGAGTCTCAGGTGCTTGTGGGCGCCGGACCATTTCCTGCGCTACGACTTGTAGTGCCGGAGATGGACACTGCAACATAAGCAGGGTCAGCGAAGACGGTATGCCAGCGTTGTGTAGAGGGGCGAGAAAGAGGGCTGTTGGCTGGGTGTAGAGATAGGGCGGGACGAGACCGGGAAGTCTGTGTGCTTTGCTCCTGCAGGTAATAATAACTAAAGACTGGATTTGGCGGGGACGAGGAACTTCTTTCTCTCTCTATCTCTGTCTGCAGGTCCTCCCGGCTTTGGTCTCCACCCTGTCACAACCCGTCTCTCGCTCTCTCTCGCTTTCTGATGTTACCTGCCAGACTGATGGGATGCCTCCTCTCTCATCAGTTCAAGCACATGAGCTTCAATTCAGAACCCACACATGCTTTGTTCGGAAATCCAACTCTCCTTTGCTCTCTGACTCTTTTCTCTCTCTATAACTCTCCACGCGAGGTCCTGACACCCTCCCAGAGACTCCGAGTTCAGAGCCCCGTTTACCGTTTGAATTATTCGTAGAGTAGTTGGCTGTCGCGTTCTTCCTCCTAAATGCCCCAGTTTTTTTCTGCTGGATCCACACGTTCTCTCTCAAGACTCTAACCGCACTATTAAACATGCTAAAAACCTTTTGAGCAGGTAGATTTGACCCCTTCTGGAGTAGTAAGGGATTTACTATTACTTGGATCTCAATGGGAATAGGTTCCCCTCAACAGCACATAGGTTCAGGTTTCCCTCGGCCGATGAATGCGTTAAATCTTTGGTCAAACTATAAATCCAAGCCGTCTCCTGCTGCGCCTGAAGCTTCTTGACGATTCCTGTGTCGGTCGTGTGCTACTCACAAAGAATGTTTAGCTACCTAGCACTAGCAGTGTTCTTTTCGTAGCTGCGTCGCCGCACCTTGAAGCTTCCGAGCACGAACATCTCAGGATCTCGTTTTTTAGTGTTGGAAGACGAGCGCATTTTTTTTCTAACTCGCCGATTACCTATGCTTGCGTGAAACTCAGAACGGCCTCTTAATCCCCGGAAAGTAGCCCCTCCGTGGGCTCGACATCCTTGTTCCCGATATGGTCCTCTCAATGGCCATCGACCCTCGCCTTCTGTAATAATTTTTGTTCATGTTTAAGACAAATATCATCTGTTTATTATTGTTGTAGCCCTATTCTAAAGACTATTATTTTAGTCTGGGGTTTTCTAGACTTCATGGGCGTCTCGACTATGCAGATTAACTGGAGAAGAGGACGTCTTAATGTTTGTGTTTAGTTTTAAAAATAAATTTTAAGTAATAATTGTCAGGATTTAGCTCGGACTTGCTTTCAGAAATATGAACAACTTTGCAAGAATGTGTGTTTAAACGAAATGATTTATTGGAATGGATATAATAAGGCACATTTTCGAGGACTTGAAGATTGTATAAAAAATAAACTGGCGAAAAGAAACGAAGGTGGTCAATTAAGGGACAAAAAGCACGAAATATTTATATACGAAGATCCGACTAGAGAGTAACTCCATCTATTAGGTCAGGTCTCGATCTCTCTCTGCATCTTCTCTCTTTCTTTCTCTGAAAGTAGACTGAACAGCATGGGAGAGGCGGAGGACACGAACAAAGCAGACGGTCTTGTCAAGCACCGGACCGTAGATGCGTTGGGCACCCGTGCCCGACCAGCAGAGCTCTTCCGGAGATCCCATCAACCATGGAGAAGCGGAGAGGGGACGTCATCGCACGTGCGACAGCGCCACCGTTCCCCCCTCCACTCTACGAGAAGCGCCACGGCATCAGACGATCACAAACTAATGGTCAACCTTCATCAGGAGCCCTCTACAATCTGAGATGATAGGTGTCCCATGGTAATAAATCCTTCTATCTCTGTAAGCCTCCCCCGGCAAGCCAGCCCTCTCCTCCTTCCTCTCCTTTACTCGTCCCTTCCCTATGTCCCTGTTGTCCATCAGCCTTCCTTTTAGATTAAGTATTTGCCACCGCCACTGATAGCCTTTCCTTCCCATCCGTCTCTCCGATTTGACCTGGGAAAAGAAAGCCAGTAGACATGGCTTTTCTTACTTTCTAGTGTTTGGGTCGATGTGGGTCTTCCTATTTACGATCCTCCTTCCCCAGCGTCCCCAGCTCAGCATCTGAAACCTTAGCTCATCCGCAGGCCGCCAGGCTCGTTCCATCTCGTCGGTGAGCTTCTCTTGATCATTTTGTTTGTTTAATTAGTCGTGTTCCTTGATTTAGTGAGGGAGTATTATGGAAGACTATCCCCCCCACATGGGTACTGCCGATAACACAATTCCCACCTCGCGGGGAGGATTCATGTACACGTCGTCATCTTCATCTCCCGGTGGCTCCATCTATGGGAGGAACTCCAACGCGCAAGTGTCTGCCATGCAGCAGCGACATATCCCTGACAACACGACTTCCGCCACTTCCTCAAACAAGCACATACCCCTCAATCCCTTCCAGTTAATCTCTGAGGCTGCCTTCCAGCCGCCTGTTAAGACCGAAGGCGGATCTTCCTACGGCCATCAACAGCGCCAGTTCAACTATGCTTTCAGCGCGAGGGCCGGAGGCGACGGGAGCCATTCCAGCGGTGATATGGATGCGATCAAGGCCAAGATCATATCTCACCCTCAATACTCTAGCCTTCTAGAAGCCTACATGGACTGCCAAAAGGTAGCTTCAGTATTTGAAATCGTATGCACCGGCTATTTCATGTTCGCCATTTATTAAAAGTATCCGAAATCCCATTTCGATTCGCAGGTCGGTTCCCCACCGGAGGTCGCTGCAAGGCTGGCGGCCATTGCCCGGGAGTTCGAATCCCGGCGGCGCGCCGCTCTGGGTTGCCGCGATCCTCCTAGTGATCCTGAGCTAGATCAGTTCATGGTGTTTGTTGCTTCAATGGCGTGAACTCGCATTAGTTTTGCTCTCAGAACTTCGCTCTCATCTCTTATCGCTTTCTTTCTGATCAGGAGGCTTACCATGATATGCTCGTCAAGTACAAGGAAGAGCTAACTAGGCCATTAAACGAGGCCATGGATTTCCTTCGGAGGGTGGAATCACAGCTCAACGCACTAACCAACGGCTCTTCTCGCTCACTCTCTGGTATTCTCGCAACGTCGCACTTACGACTAAATTTTGTTAGTTAATTAGTATCGAACGCTAGTGATCTTCTTGGTTTATTCTCTTTTCTCGTAGCTAAATTTAGGTGACCTAATATCACGAAACAAGGAAACCCGATCCTTTTACAGGTTGACAGTAACTTTGCCACGGGGCTACAGTCCGTTCTTTAGAAGCACAGTACGTAAACATTCTTCGAATGACCTTGAAGAGGTAGGGTTTCGTGAGAGCCGGATATGTTTGACCGGGTATTGAATGCTCATGCGCCAGGTCCCTGTCAGAAGAAAATTCGAGCTTCATTAGGGCATGTGGGGATGGCAGAGGTTTGATAGACGTACATACAACCATAGGGCTGGTAAAGGGGATCTTCTTCGCTGAAGATCTATCGTCTCTCTCCCCCGTGGCAATGTTGGAATCAAATTGCGGCGTGCGAGATGCCGAATACCTTAGGACCTATAGCTGTGTGTTGTGTCCCCTCCCCCGTGTATAAACCTGTGTCTTCTCTGTTTCTCTCTCTCTCTCACTCACTCTGTATTTCTATCTTCCACGTATATTATATGATTTGGTAGGGAACAGCTCGGCATTTTCCCCAACGATGTGACTCTTAAGGTATAAGCTGCGGATGACAAAATGCGCGCCCTAGCGATGGCTGCCAAACTCATTTGACAGGCTTTATTAGTGTGTAGACGTCGTAGGCAGCTCTCTTCTTCCCTGATCTCGCGTAGTTTGTAGAGTAGCCAACACCATGCAGGTAGGCTGACGGTTCTAGATGAATATTTGAATTACATTTCGTAACCGTTCATTTACCACCAGGACGATAACGTTGTCAGTAGTCTGTGGATTGCCTTTTTTCTACTCTCCACAGAAAATCATGTGCCAAAATATTTCACCTTACCAATATTCACTCTCTCTCTCTCTCTCTCCCGTTCTCGCTCTCGCTCTACGATCTGATACTTCAAAGAGAGATGAGCTAATTCTTCTCACCAGGTTGTTTTGACGGTACCAGCGCCGTTGATATGAGCAGATCTGGTAATTATTGAGGAAGGTTTAGCGTATCAAATGTCGAAAATTCCTATCCCCGTTCTTTCCCGGAAGCGCAAGGTTGATTGCCCTGACCCGACGTGAAGCTATTAATTGTCTGTTTGTAGGTTATCGGATTCATCTCACAACTTTCTTTCATCTTGTTATGTCAAATGTTTATGGGAAAATTTCCAGGCTGCATTTAGTTGAGCTCATGTTCTCGATTGAACTGATTGTAGTGTTAAGTTGAACGCTTCAACTTGACTATTAGTGAGTTTAGGTTATACAGCTAACGATAATGTCTTCCTACGGTGTTCGGTCAATTATTGGCTTTGAGCTTTACAGGCTTATTGTCTTTATTATGCGTAGATGAGAAATGTGAAGGCGTCGGTTCGTCTGAGGAGGACCCCGATACTGTCATGGGGGATGCAAAGCTTGCCGGTATGGACCCTCGCACTGAAGATCGCGAGCTTAAGCATCATCTCCTCAAAAAGTACGGCGGGTATCTGAGTAGCCTCAAACAAGAATTCTCCAAGAAGAAGAAGAAAGGTAAGCTTCCTAAGGAAGCCAGGCAGAAGCTGCTGAACTGGTGGGAGTTGCACTATAAGTGGCCTTATCCATCGGTACGTATAAATGCCTACGAATAATAGTTTTCCAGGATAACTAGCCATTGTGCACGCAATAAAGTTCAATTCCGTGAAATGAGCAGGAGTCGGAGAAGGTTGCCTTGGCTGACTCGACGGGTCTTGATCAGAAGCAGATTAACAACTGGTTCATCAATCAGAGGAAGCGTCACTGGAAGCCTTCGGAAGATATGCAGTTTGTGGTGATGGATGGGTTCCACCCGCAGAACGCCGCGGCGGCTCTCTACATGGACGGACACTTCCTTGGCGACGGCATGTACCGCCTGGGGCCGTAAGGTCTTCCCATGCACGAGCATTTTCAATAGACGCCTCCGTAGTGTCCCTGGCTTAGCCCTAGAATACGGTGGCGATGCGATCGTTTGTTCAGTTTGCAAGGTTTACGATGTCATTTGGTGCATGATCAAGTTATGTTCAACTTGTCTTTACAACGTTAGACTTCCGTCCCCGCTTGTCTTTTATAAATCAGCTTAATTTTCTCTTTCTGATGCTTTCCATGTTCCTGGGGATGAAAGGCTTCGGAGTATAGATTGGAGATTGGTGAGTACCTGGGAAGCCTATGTGATCTTCGAGCGGCTCTATTATTCTACAAATTGAAGTTAAGCTTCACAGTGTAGCGTTCTTAGCAACTGGTCTTTAGTTTAACGTAACCATCTATTCAGTCGTCAAATAGTTGACCACTGATTGTCGTACTTCAAATTTTTTGCGTTAGATAAATTTACAGAATTCGTTGGGTTATGAAATCGTCAAACTTCGTTTACAAAGATCCTTTGACGCAGTCGAGGTCTGTACCGCATTATCAGTGACTGCTTTTTCTCAAGTGTGGTGGCCGTTGTGAAATCATAGAGAAATCATGTCTAAGTCTGAGAAAAACGGCTATGTTTTCAAATTGATCGAGTTCACATCCATTATGATTTTGTTAAGGGAGATGCAGGTGTGCGCGGTTGTGGAGCCGAAGAGTTCTGCTGGAGGGCACATTATGAAACGAACTCCGTTATGAAGGACACCTGCGGCTGCGTGCGCAGGTATTCGTTTGGAAGTGAATGGCGTCGTCGCCCTCCGTATCCGCCTTATTATCATCTCGGTGAGCTGGAAGAATGTTTATTCCTGTCCCATCCCTGCAACTTTGTTCATTCTGTTACCGTCGGTCTGTGGATTGGAAGATCACTCTCAGTTTCTCATTGTTTCTTCTTCAGAAAGAAAAAGAGGGATAAGATGAGACATCGTGGAGAAGAACAAAGGCCCACGAGAGTGCTCAAGCTTCCCCCAAGCAAATTTTCAAGACTAGATCCAACAACTAAAATCTCCTATTTTCTATCAAAACATCATAATTTTTTGGCGGCGCTTCAAATGAGGATTTTCAATGTATCTAAATCATTTTATTTCATAATACCATAATTCAAATTAACAACAACGTCATCATCTATTAAAATGAAGTTTTGACCTCCTATATTATTTTCATTGGACTGTCGGACTTAAAGGATTTGGTGAAATTCCAGAAGAGGGAGTTCTCACGGAAATCCTCGGGTGGGTCGAACCAGAGGTTTAATCCTCAGCTCGCGGTTGTCCATCCCGCCGGCCTGCATGCGAGTCTGTAGCCGGATGGGATACCCGTCACGTTCCACAAGTAATCGAAGTCCATCTTGTCCCTGTTGGGCTGGTCGGGGCTGAGCTGTCATCCTTATTCTTTATTAGGAAGCATGTTGACGGGGAAGACGAAGACTGGAAGAGCAGATATCGGAGACGTCACGAGATTGCCCGACGATTATCCAATCCGTGGTCTAGCTTCAGGTCTCTAGAGTGCCCGTCACGTGGAAATGTTAACGAACCTCGGTTCCACGCAAGGTGGGAAGCCTTTCTTAAAGTTTCCCATGGAGACGGGAGAAGTCCATGAAGCCCCTGCAAGATCTCAACAAGAGCCACAGGAGGCGCATCCTGCATGTTTGCGGTACGAATGTACTCTCGCTTCAGGGTGCAGGACCCTGCAGTGGTCGCACATGTTGAAAGTTCAGACAAGGGCTACCAGCACAGGGAAGGTCTGCGGAGATGTAACAATGATTCAATACAGAAGGGAAGTAGTGAGCTGAGCTTTATTCCCGATAGAAGAGGAAAAGGGGAGACCCAAGTTTAGAACCCTTCCTAGTCGGGCCTTTCTGTCCTTAGACCATAAAATCAAGCCCGAAATAAAATAGTAGCCCCGCCTCTGCCTGAGGGTTATGTTGAATACATCAAAGTTCTCCTCTGCTTACGATTTAGATGGTTTTTCCTTCTAAAGGAGAAAAGAGCACTGATCAGACGAATGCCATTGACCACCGACCTTTTTTACACAAGGTATCTACGCTCTCCCTCTCTCTCTCTCTCTCTCTCTCTCTCTCTCTCTCTCTCTCTCTCTCTCCCATCTTTGTACATAGACGTATCCATTGCTATTATGCTATTGGTGAACAAGTGAAAGATAAAGTTGAGGAAGGAGAAGATAAAGGAAGATTGATGAAACGGTACATGTCTATCTCAACTACCAACACAAGATCATAAGATATATCTTAACAATGTTCATGATAATTAGAGAATTATTAATGATATTGATTTGTTGTTATGATTAGCCATTCTCTCCAACGACTATGCCGAGATTGTCTTGGTCACAAAATTCATTTAACTGGGAGTGGCTTCCTTAATCAATAAGCATGTTGATTTGAGTATTTTTTATGATCATGAGACATTTTTTAGCAACCCTTGAATAAAATTATAGTCAATTTAAAGCTACTTAGACCTAAATAATTAGGTTACTCCTAAGCCCAATAATGTTGCAACATAAAATAAGTGGTGAGTAGAAAATTATACCCATGTTCTCATATGTAAGTAGATTCCAAATTAGTTATATTTGAGCTTTGAAACTCTAATTCAAAAGTTAACCAGAATATAGTGGCTTGTTTATGGGACCCCCAAAATAAGAAATTAGATAGTATGTGTGGAGAGAAAGGTTTTGTAAATCTTTAGAATTGAGAAAGAGATAAGATGAAGATAAGTACAAGGGTTTATAGTGGCCCTAATAAGCCATAACGGGCCAAGTCTATAGTGGGTTGATGCCACAATCTAACACTTCCTCTCAAGTTGAAGTGTATAGATCAAACATGTCCAACTTGGTTCTCAATTAGTCATGGAAAAAGCTGCTAAGACTCTTGGTGAAGATGTTGGCTAATGGGTTGATTGACGATATATGTGGAGTGGCAATAATGTCCTTAAGAACTTTGTCTCGAATAGTGTGATAATCAATCTTAGTGTGTTTGATGCATTCGTAGAAGGTGAGATTTACTGCAATGAAGATTGCAACTAGGTTATCAAAGTACATAAGCATCATAAACAATGTAAAGACCCCCAGTTCTTATAAAAGAGATCAGAGTTATACCATCTCATCTGTACTATCAGCCATTACACAATATTTTACTTTAATACTAAAGTGGGATACGACTTTGTTCTTAGAGGCCCAAGTGACCAAGCTACTGGCAACATATATATAATAGTCAATAGTTGAGTTGTGATCATTTTTGTGATAAGTCTTCATTATCATGAATTAATAATTAGTAAATAATATAGTTTTAGTCTTAAATTATGATAAATAAACTTATATTTGTGTTAAAGTCTGAAAATTGATTTTCATGTGATTAATGTGAATTTTTGGCTAATTATGTGATTTTTTAAGAATTTATATAATTTTTATAATATTTTTTTATATAAAAAAAGAAAAATAAATTCAAAATATAATAAAATGAGGGGGACCCACTAGTTAGCCAGGTCCGCAAGTGGGTCAAAAGTATAGTCAAGGATAGCCATGAGTAGGGGCTCGAGCAACTAGGATTAATAGAGGCATGTGTGCACCACTCTCCTTCCATGTCATTAATGTCCAACTAATTGTGAGACAAAGAGTGGTTGTACAGACAAGAGAAAATGACTCATTACTTTCAAATGTGATATTACTATATATTTGTCCAAAACTTCGATGCACAAATAATGTGAGACTAAATCTACATCACACTTTCCCCCGAAAAACTTTGAAGATTTGAATACTTAAATTATCTCTCCGTTATAATAGAGATATACTATGATGATGTTACTTGATAAGGACATTATAGTACTTATTTTAATCTCTCTCATGTAGGTGGATAATTGGCATGGGTTTGAATCCTCCTAAATTTAAAACTCATATTTTTATCTAATTATCACAACTTTCTTGTAAATCGCTGATGAAGGATTAAGCTGTCAAAATTGCTAGATCAACGACAAAAATCTCGTCAATGAGATTTACGAAGTATTATTATTAAAATTGTTGAATGATTTGCATTAAAAGAATTACAAATTCATCGAGTAAATCATCTGTGATTGACTGACGAATAAGTTGTTGTTAGGAAGAAGACGATCTACTAGAAGACACTTCTAAGAGTGTACTTTACAATGAAGAGCCTTCTTTTGTTGTGCAGACTTGAGGATAAAACTCCATAACATGTGCCTCACCTCTATTTAGTTATTCTCTATCAGGTGACAGTCGCTAAAGAGTCGCAAAGTCACTGTTTTTTGTTTTACCAGGTGACAGCCATCAAAGACGATTTGATGACCTATTTTATTAATTTCTAAATTTTACAAGGAGATCTAGAGATTGTCCACATTGCCTTTGTCCATAAAGAGCATTCAAGGCCATGGACACTATATGACAATCTTTTCAAACACTCAAGATTCTAATACATTATCGACACATCGTCACTACGGCACTGAAACTTTATTTTTCTACTTTCAACTTAATTTTTACTTCATTTAATAATAATTTATGTGATTTAAATTTACTAAATTATATTTCATTTAATTACGATTCTTTCAGCTTTTATAAATCTTAATTTGATGAATTAAATCATTTATAATTACTTATGTAAGAATCATCAAGCGAAACTCTATTTCTGTCCGATTTACTTTCATCAAGTGTTGACGTCATCTTGATGTCCAGACCCTTATTTCCCTTTTTCATGAATTTTAAATATATTTTATTTTTATTTCTTAATATAAAATTTATAGAAAATCATAGTCTTCGAAGAAAATTTAAAAAACTTATCCAATATTATATTACATCTTTGTGATCAATTTGAAAAATTATCACTATTTTTAAAAGTTTTATTAAATTATAATTGATATATTTGTTTTAAAATACTTCTAAATATTTGAAAATTAATATTTTATAATTTTAGAAATTTTAAATTTGTGTGATTTACTATATAACGATTAAGTCATGTCACCT